AGCTTCCTCAACAGGAGCCAGGCCTGGACCAGCACCAGCAGGGGCCACAGGGGAGCCCCGGGCAGGCAGGCGGGCGGCAGGGAGGAAAAGGCAGGGATTCGTCCCTGCTGTCTTACGGAGGCTGCTTCACTTGCCGCCGTCTCCCCTGGCTCCTGGGCTCCAGCCGCAGGTTGGGTCCCACCCGCCACCTCCGAGGCCTCTGCTGGCTGCAACATAAATGCCGGCGTGGGGTCAGACACACGACAGGACACAATCAGGACACAGGAAACAGGCCACAGGAGGGCAGCACCCAAGTGAGAGGGCTGGGGGCATCGCCGGGCTGGCAGCAGGGTCTAGAGCCACCCAGTGCCTCGAAGAATCCAGGGAGCCCCTGCTGGACAGGTCAGGCCCTGGGCCCGGGAAGCAGCTGAAGAGTAGGTGCTGGCAGGCCCAGGGATGTGAGTGGCATGCTGTGAAGAAGCCCAGGGCAAGCCCCCGAGTGCCACCCCCAACCCCGCCTCACAGGCCCTGCCCTCTCGGCACCAAGACCTCGCCCCCAACCGCGCCTCACAGGCCCTGCCCTCTCGGCACCAAGACCTCGCCCCCAACCCCGCCTCACAGGCCCTGCCCTCTCGGCACCAAGACCTCGCCCAACCACAGCCACCGCCCGCCCACCCTGCTTGGCCTGGCAGGTGGCAGGAGCTTTCCGAACCTATAGATGGTCCATGGCAGGGGACAGCAGCACACATCTGTCCCAGCCTGAGCACAACCAAGCACTGCCTGTGCGGTGCAGCCTGTGTGCAGCCCAAACCCAAGAAGGGTGTGGCACAGCACGGGCACCATGGCAGGCCCTGCGGGGGCCCCAGAGCTGGGCTGACCTGGGCCAACACTCAGACTTGGCCACTTCTGAGTGCTGGAACCAAGTGACTCAACCCTTCTAGTCCCCCATCTCCTCATCTGTCAAAGGAGGAAGTGTCTGGCTGGCAAGGTGACGATGGAGATTACACGAGAAGATTCTGGAAAGTGCCTGGCATAAACCAGTAGGTGCTCTAAACGCTCCTCCTCCTACTCTGGGAGGCCTGAGCTGGGAGGCTGCGCTGGGAGGCTGGTCTGGGAGGCCTGAGCTGGGAGGCCGCACTGGGAGGCTGTGCTGGGAGGCTGGGCTGGGGTGGGCGAGGAGGAGGGGCTGATGTGCCCAGCCGTGCTCACTCACCCCTGGCAGCCTTGGTGACAAGCCCATGCTGGGGCAGCCTAGCTCAGGACACTGTCCTCACACTCACATCCATGGTGGCCTGGTCCCTCCTGCAACCCTTCCTCGGGGCTCTCCTTCCATGCTGCAGCCCCAGAGACTGGGGACAAGCCAGACAGGGGCTGGAGGTGGGCACTTACTTGGGCAGGCCCCGGCTCGGCCGTCTGGCTGGGCCAGGACACAGCAAAGGTGCCCTCGGCAGCGCTGGGCTCCCCGGAAGGCAGGCTGCCGGCTGGACTCTCTGTGGGCTGGTAACAGGCCACGAGGAGAGAACAGGGAGGGGGTGGGGAGGCCGGGGTGGAAGGACAATGGGCAGGATCACAAGACAAGAGAAGATGTCACCAGCGGCTGGGGTTGGTGGGGCAGGGTGGGTACCAGCAGAGCCCGGCCGGCCACCCGCCTCCCACGTCCTCTCTCCTGTCACTGCCAAAGGGACAGGCAGTGTGTCTGCTGCCCAAGCTCAGCACCTACCAAAACCCACTTGTCAAAATGGTCCTACAGCCCACACCAGGCCGGCTTTTTCTGGCCTCCTCCACAGGGAGATCCTGCCGTGGAGCCTCCAGAGCGCCCAGGAGCCTGGGCTGCCAGCGGGTGCCCCAAGAGCACCTGCACACCCGCCTGCCCCTCCCAGCGTCTCTGCCTTTATCAGGGGGTCTCAGGGACACAGCCCAGGAGACCCTGTTGGAATTCTGGCTCTACCATGACCAGTTCCTGGGCAAGTACCGAGCCCTCCCTGAGCCTCTGTGTCCTGAGCTATCAGGTGACAGCGACACGGGTCCTGTGTGAGCTGGCCTTGCACCTGCCTGCAGGCCCTGCTCTCAGAAGGCACCCAGCCACACCCTGTCTTCCATGACGCTCTCAAACCATCCATTCCTCCCCTCTCCCCCTCCTCCCAAATAGCTCCCCACTGCCAAACAGCTCAGAGGGCAAGACTCTTCCACCCGAGGCCCTCCTGCCCCACACCCTGAGGACGCTCGTCCATCCTGGGTCACCGGCCCGCTTCTGTCCGGAGGCAAACACTCACAGGCTATGAAAACGACACCAGATTTCAGGGGACCCCTGTCTCAAGCTAAACTGAGGATCCCCTTTTCCAAGGGCCTGCCAGAGGGAGCAGCAGCAGAATGGCTGGAGATGGACGGCCTCACCAGCTCCCTGTGCTTGAGCACATGCCTGTGTGTGCTGCGTGTGGGGTGTGCGTGCACCTGTGAACAGGCTAGGAGGAGGCCAAGGCATGTGGGCCCGGACGCATACGAAGAGTGGCTCCCACAGGGGCTGGACACAGAGCAGATGCACAGCTTACCTCCCAGAGATCCCACGGAATTGACTGAGCGCAGCAGTGAGGGCGAGAAGGACAGTTAGCACAGAGGTTAGAGACAGGGTGGTAAGCAGTCCCCAGGGACCCTACCCCCGCTCGCCCCAGGCCCTCCAGCCCAGCAGGCGCAGGAGTGGCTCAGAGTCAGCTAGACTCCAAGGTTTGCAGGTGACTGAGCTCCTGACACCTCCCAGGGAGCTTCAAGACCCCAGGCCAGGATGCAAGATGAGCACAGAGATGCCGGGTGGTGCTCAGTGACCTCCTACTGAGAGTTCTCCCAGCTGATAAGGGGCTACGACCAGCAGGTGATGAGGGCCGAAGGCTGGGGTGCCAGGGGAAGGGCAGTGACCCAGGCCTAGATGGGGTCACATGCCAATGGGCAACATGAGCCCAGGGTGGGGCACCTGGAGGCTGGTGGGCCCATAGGCAATGGTGGGCACAACCAACCTGACCGGAGGGCGTGGGTGCCTTCACAGGGCTCGTCACGGGCGGGAGGGGGTCAAAGTCCAGGTCCAGCAGACTGGCCTGCTCCGAGAAAGGCCCCGGGGCCTCAAACTTGGCAGCAGCAGCAGAGGAGGAAGCAGTTAGTGTTAAGCTGGGAGCCCTCACCCCAGGCAGACACTGCAGGCGCAGGCACACGCATAGACACAGACACACACACACACACACACACACACACACGCGACACACATGCACAGAACAAGCGCACATACATGCACACACGCTGGCACACAGCCCAGGCACCAGCCCATCCACCTCACACCCAGGAACACTGCCCAAAGCCACGCACCCCTGCACAGGCTCCCGCCCATACCAGGAGGACCCCAGTGCCCGCCTCAAACTCCCAGTCATAGGCCTACCTGTGGCCACCACCCCACAGGGCCAGCGCCAGGCCCCAGCTCTCTCCCGCCTCCATCCACAGGCTGGTGCCCCCCACCCCCCGCCCGCCCCGTGCCTGCACCTCCGCTCCACTCCCCGCCCAAGAGTAGCTGATTCTGCTACTCCCCAGTGGCAAGAGTAGCACCGGGCCACAGCCACCCTCAGTGCTCCCGACTGGGAAAGTTCCAAAGGCAGAGACTTCCCGCTGGCTTTTCCTCAACCCCAGACAGGCCGGTCCCTCTCTGGCAACACCACCACCGGCCAGCTCCAGGGACGGAGGAAAGGGTGGACCCAGCCCACAAAGCCCAAGAGGCCAAGCTTCAAAGTGGGGGTCTTCACCATGCAGGGGCTTCACAACCACCTGGGGCACCTGGGTTAAACCTGCAGGCCCTTGACCCCTCCCCAGCAGCCACCCCCCAAGATCCCCTTCCAGTGAGCCCAGGAATAGGCATGTGACAAGCATGGCCCCAGGGATGGGACACGGTGGCCCTGGCCACACTGTGACAAGCCTCTCCATAAGCTGGGCCAGACTAGCATGGGAGGAAGGGGCTTCCTTAGAGCCTCCGGCACAGGCGGGAACAATGACTCCAGTGTGCCCTGGGCAGCGCCCAAGCCCACGCCCATGCCCATGGCCATGCCCAGGGCACAAGCTGCCTTCTGAGGAGCGGGGAGTGGCTCGGCTCCGGCCTCCATCTTGTACCTGGGGCTTCCCTTTGGGGGCCAGGGATAACTTTGCCCAGGTTTAAAAGGAGAGGGATGTGGCCGGGTGCTCCCCTCCAGGGCCCTCAGCCAGTGCTGGAAAAGCCCCAGCCCCGCAGCCCAGGCCAGCGGCTTCCCGGCTCCACACACTCTTCACAGGCACTGGGCACGGACGGGGCGCCCTTCCACGCAGCCTCCACCATGAAGGACTTGAGACCTGGGGCTGTGGGTCGGGCTCCGCAGAGGCACCTCCACTGCTGAGCTGAGGGCCCGTTGGGAGAGACCCAAGGCCCTCAGTCCTAAGAACACCCAGCTGTCCCGCAGCTCAGGGGACAAGGCGTGGAGCAGTCCACATGGCCAGGCCGAGGTGTCAGACAGCCCAGGCCAAATGGACTCACTTCCTGGAACCAGGGGCCCCAGGCCCTGCCCTGGGCCCATCCCATCAGCTGACTTCCCTTTAGGTCCAGCCCTGTCTGGGGAAGCCAGGGTGGGGAGGTCACTGCTCTGCCCCATAACCGGCCGTCTCTGAAGAAAGAGCCGTGAGGACGCCTGTGCACAGCTCCTAGGTGCCTCCAACCAGTGGGCGGCCAGCGTCTCTCCCCAGTGGCCCCCACCCTGCCCCAGCGACACCCTTCCCTCCTATCTCAGAGAAGTCAGCCAACCCAGGCAGCCATACCCGTCGTGTGCCGAGGGGAGGGTCACCCGCCAGAGAGCTGACCATCCCTTCGCTGTCCTGCCCTGGCAGGTGGCACCTCGCCATGCAGGCCCGGGACTGTCCCTCCATGCAGGGACACAGGCTATTCACCACCCCACAGCCAGGAAGCCCGTGGGCACCAGCGTCATGGACAAGGGCACGCCCACCCCTGCCCCCTGCCCCACCCAAAGGTCATGGCTCCCCCACCCCAGACCAGGAAAACCAGTTGCCTGGAGATGGCACACGCAGTGGCCAGGGAGGCAGGTATGGTATAGCGGGACAGGCGCACTCAGAACCTGGGTGCAGGTGGTCTCTGGGCCACCTCCTGGCCTGGCACACCTTGTTCTGGCGTGGGCCCACGGCACAGGCCCTAGGTTCCTTTCCTCGCCTGTTAAATGGGGGCATGATGCATAATGGGGGCATAATGGGGTATAGGAAGTGGCTGGCACCATTCCTCGCTCAGTATTTGCCAGTGTCCATGCCATCCCATCTCCCTCACCTGTACACACACTGGGCATCCCCAGGGTGGAGGCACGCTCGAGCCAGGGAGGTCCTCAGCCCTGACCCCACACTGCTCTTCCTACATCGCCCTCTGCCACCATCCCACAGAGAGGGGCTCCCAAGCCTGCCAGGTCCCTGACACCTGCGTCACTCACCCAGACACCTGCAGCCTTGGATCTAAAGCTCCTTAGTTCTAGCCCTAGTCTTTGCATAGGAGCTTGAGGCCCACCATCCCCAACCCTTCCTAGCAGCGACCACTGTTCGCAGTTCCCAGCAGCCACTCCCCACACTCACACCCTCCAACCTATCCCCACTAGGCGTCTGAGCTGTGGGAAGGGGTTTGCTGGAGGCCACCACAGCCTGGACTGGACAGCCTCCCCTACAGGCGAGGCTCCCCATGTGGGAAGGGCCCTGGCTCACCCACAGGAGGGAGGCCAAGGCCTGGATGGCTAGCCTTGAGGAGGCAGTCAGCTCTGGGGGAGTGCAGGGAAGGCCGGCCACCCCTGGGCAAATCTGACAACACATCGGCCCACTCCAGCACTGGCGAGTGGCGCTTCCAGCAAGACACTCCCGCCAGGCCCCCACCAGGAAGGACGTGAGACCTGGGGCAGTGGGCCGGGCTCCCCAGAGGCACCTCCACAGCTGAGCTGAGGGTCCATTGGGAGAGACCCAGGACCCTCTGGGTGGCTCCTTGCTGAGCCAAGGACCCGTCAGGAGAGACCCAAGCCACCCTGGGTGGCTCCCTGCTGCATCTGGGCATTCCACACCTCTCAGGGAGTGTGCACGCAGCAGCTGTGCTCTGAAGCCTGGCCGCTGCCCCCGCCCTCAAGTGACTGACAGCAGCTGTGGGAGCTGAAGTCCAGGTGCTTCAGCCATTCCAGGGCCTTCCAACTCTCCCTGCCCCTGGAAGCCTTCCCCGACACCACAGGTCCTCCACACTCCCCGATCCCCTCTGCCAAGTACCCACTGCACCGCAAGGGCACTGCTGACGTGACTGCTGTGCCGGGAGGGGTGGGCACCTTTCCCCGCTGTGGCCCTGCATCCAGCCTTCGTACATGCTCAGAGATGGGTGATGATGATGGAGGATGATGGACAGAGGGAAGGGAGGGTGAGAGAGGGAAACTGACAGTCTCTCTGGCCAGATTCTTGGCTCTTGAGACAGAAGCATAGAGGATGAAGGCCATGCACGCCCTGAGAGGGCAGGAAGAGAGGAGAGCTGGGCCGCGGCGGCCGCGGCTGACCTGGGAGGGGGTGGTCACGCTGATCTCAGGGACAAACGTGTCCTCAAACAGGCTGAGGATCTGCTCCTGCTTGACCTCCTTGGACGGGGTGTGTTTGGGAGGCGGAGGGACTGGTGGGCCTTTCCGGAGCTGTGGGTCGGCGGCGGGTGAGGGGCCGCGCGGGAAGGCACAGCAGAGCACGGGGTTTGGGGGAGACAGAGACAAAGACACGGTTAGTCACACCCCAGGCCACAGCCCCACCCAGGCCACTGAGCAGGGCGCAGCAAATGAAGATTCACTGCCCTCCCAGCCCCCCAACACAGACACCAAGACCGCAGGCCACCCCCGAGAGGGACACTGAGGCAGGAGGTCCAGAAACGCTGTGTGGAGAGATAAGAGACAGGTGAGGGGAGAGGAGAGAGGGAGAGCAAAGAAGAGGGAGAGAGGCCCCGGGCTGCCCGCTGGCCAACTGTGGGAGGGTCTGGCTTCCACCCGCCTGGCGAGAAGACTGGGGAAGGAAACAATCGCTGAGAGACAGCCGGGCCCCAGGCTCGCTCTGCCCACCTTGCCCTTCCCGCAGTCACCTCCCTCTACCTTCCAGGGCATAGGGCTGCCCACAGGGAGCCCAGCTCAGACGAGTGTGTCCCCGAGGAAGCCAGCGTGGCACCAGGATGGGGCAGAGGCCACACCCCTGCCCACCAGGTGGGGGACCTCGGGCAGGTCACGCACCCACGAGGCTGGGCTTCCTCATGTGTCGGGTGATGACGGCGTCTGCTTCACAGGGGGTTTGTGGGGACTCAGTGAATGAAAACACAGAAGGCACTGGCACCACGTCCAGGTCAGGGGAAGTGCTGTTCGGTGCAGGCTCCCACCACGTCCTTAGCCCTGCTATCCTAGTCAGCAGCAGGGCAGGGTGGCGGCGGAAAACTGGGAGCTGCAGGAGGCCCGGCTATGAGAACGCCGCCACCTGGTCGGCCAGCGCCTAGGGCCCTGCAGACACCTGGAGAGCCCGCTGGGGGCAGGTGGGGTGGAGACAGGGACAGTCCGGAAGCCCAGGACCTGCCCCCTTAGCCACCCCACACTCTCCACTGAGCCCTTCCTCTCTCTGTCCCTTTAAAGGCCCTGCGTGGCCAGCTGGCTGGGCTCCTCCCTCAGGCCCCTTTAAGACAGAGAGGCCAGGAAGAGGGACAAGCAGCCCGCTCCGGAGATCTGGATGCTCTGTGGGCTGAGCGCCCAGAGCCTCTGCTAGGGAGGAAAAGAAGATGGAGAAAGAGTCAAGCAGCCAAAAGACCAGGGAGAGGGAAGGGGAGGGCGCTGCAGTAGGGGTGGGCCCTGGGGAGGGGCGAGCAGTCACACATGCCTCCCGGAAGCACGCCAGGCTGGATGAGGGGAAGGAGACCCAGGTCCAGGCCCAACGCCCACTGGGCAAAGCATTGGGTCCATAGCTGCCCAGGCCAGAAAGGGGACAGAGGAGTGGGAGGATGGGGGACAACAGCAAAGCCAGAGGAGAAGGAGGGAGGGCAGCGGACCTGCCACCGAGACATCACTCCTACCTGAGATGGGGACTTGGGGAGGGTGGCTCCGGGCGTGGCCCCGCCGGCTGGCTCTGGCTCGTGGTTGACTCTGATCTCGGGGGTGGCGGCAGGGGAGCCATCTGGAGGTGAAGGGCTCTTGTTCCCTTTTGCAGGCGCGTTGTCACTGTGGGGGCAGGACAAGAAAGGGAGCCCAGTGTTGGGGGACTGAGGCACAGGAGACAGAGGGGCAAATGTATTGACATCTGTGTGAAGAGGTGTGTGCATATGGAGGTGTGAAGCCGTGTGTGTGTGTGTGTGTGTGTGTGTGAGAGAGAGAGAGAAAAAGCGAGCGGGAGGGTGGGGGGAGCCAAGGGACCTGGGCTTGGGGGGCTGGAAGTGGGGAGCCTGCCTCAGAGACAGGAACAGCCCAAGGCAGGACTCCAGGCTGGAGGTCTACGGTCCCCAGGAGTGCAGGCAGGCACCTTGGAACCATCTGTCGCAGAGGCCAGACCAACACCACCACAGGCTCCATGGGGTCCACCAGGGCCCATGCTGACAGCCCAAGATCCACAGCAGGAGGAAGCCAGACATCCCAGAGGCACAGTGAGTCTCCCACACCACAGGCAGCAGCCCCTCTGTTCTGCGGGCCGCTCCCCAGCCTGCTGCCCCCAGGCTTCCTCCCTGCCCTCCCTGCCTGTCCATCACAGAACCCTGGTACATGTCTCCAGACCTTGGCTCTCCTGTCCTCTAGGCCGTTGGAGGCCAAAAGCAGGGCCTGGACAAACTAAGAGAGGCATCCTCATCACAGAGGAGTGGGCAGCTGGCGATGGAGGGGACGGGTCCTGAGCCATGGCATTCAGTGCCAGAACGCGATGGGGAGGTGGTGTGATGCTGTGCACCCCGCAAAGGGACGAGGGTGCAGGGAGAAAATTCTCTACCAGAACCTGCATAGAGAGGCCTAGAAAGGCGCTGCCCAGTATGATTGCCACTAGCCACCAAACCTGAGTTTGGCAATGCAAACTCAAATCAGTGAAATTTATGTGTAATTTAAATGAAAAATTCCGCTGCCCAGTCACACTGGCCAGTTTCAAGTGCTCGACAGCCCCATGGGGTAACTGGCATCTGTGCCGGACAGTGCAGATCTAGAAGCATCCAGCAGGAACCAGTGACCGAGTCACCTGAGGGCAAAGCGTGGAACAGCCTAAGAGATGTCGCTGATACCATCTTTCCTTTTGGAATCTGTGTTTTATGGGAATATATTCTCCTTAAAGAATATATATAAGTATATAGTATATATATAAGAGTGTGTGTGTGTATATATATATAAGTATATAGTATACACACAGAATTTTTTGAAAAACAACCCCACCGTGCCGCAGTGTCACCTCCCTGGCCCTCCCCAGGTCTCCTTCCCAGCCGCGTCCGCCATTGGTAAGTGCGCTGGTGGCCCAGGCACCACCCGGGGCTAGACAAGTGAGGGGCGCCCAGAGGAACGTGCTAAATCCAGCCAGCTGCTCAGAGGCCTGCCCGCCCCGCACCGCCTCCGCCTTCCCACCCAACACACACACACACGCCAGCCCTGCCGGGCAGCACTGCACACAGAGCCAGGTTACGGGTTAGTGGCGTCTGGGAGCGGGCCGCAAGGCGCATGCACAGGGCCGGCCAGGGCGCGGACCTCTGCGCCCCTCCGCAGCACTCACTGCCGGTACCTGTTCTTCTTTCTGCGCAGCCGCGAAAACAGTTTACTTTTCTTTCTGTGGGGACGGACGGGAGGTGGAGGCCTTCATTCTGGAGAAAGGCCAGGGGCAGAACTGGCCCGTCCCCTTCCCTCTTTGCCAACCCCTCTGCTCAGAGGACAAAGGGGCAAAAGCCTCTCCTAAGTGCCAGAGGCCTTGCAGAGGGCCTGGGCCTGCTATCCCAGGGTGCCCGGGCAGGCCCCTGCTGTGGCCAGGTGCCCGGGGTGATGCTAACAGGGCCTGGTGAGGGGCAGGAGGCTCGGGGCAGGGGAGAGTCACCCTGCCTGTGGTCCCAGTCCCCAGGAGCTCCAGGTGTGCCCAGAGTGCCAGAAAAGGCCCCCAGGCCAGCACAGAGTGCACAAGAGGCCACTCGGCTGGAAGGGAGGCTCCTGGGCCTCCACTGTCCCTCTCTCTTCCCTCCACCTCCTTCCTGAGGGGAGCCATGGTCAGGACCGCCATGCTTACCCCCTGCTGACGCATCCCAGTGTTCCCACCTGTGCCTACAGGCCAGGCAGCTGCCCCTCCCTGCCCGACCTTGGATTCACATTTTGGCCTTTATTCTACAACCCCCCCACACCCCCCTACTGCCACAATGCCTCCCTCCTCACCTCCCCACTCCCAGCCTCAGGTCACCACGGCCCCTCTCTCAGCCACGACTATTTTATGTTCAGGGAAGGAGGGGGCAATCACCACCACCCAACACCCTCATCATCCCGGGCAATACCCCAGGAAGCAGACAGTCGCCCCGTTTTACAGAGTTCCCCGGTGCTCTCTGCAGCCTGCCGTGATGTGCGTGTGTGTATGCACACACTCACAGCTGTCGCACACAGTCCCCCTCACACACACACACGCAGACACGGCCAGAAGGGAGGGGAAGTCCCGGGCTCGCTGCTTCCTCTGATCCACAGCCAGCAGAGCAAGGCGTTTCCCTCCTCCCCCACGGTTCCCCCTCAGGAAACAGAGATCTCCTTGCAGCTGGGCTTCCCAGGCTGAGGACAGGAAGAGGACGCCCGTGCGGGTGAGCAGAATGCTGCCTTCCAGGGACATGAGCTTTTCCAGGAGCAGGAGAGAGAAGGGCGGCGCTACCTCCCTGCTCTGAGAGGACTGCACACCCCAGAGTCATTCAGTCCTGTTCACACCCCCCAGTCCCCAAAGCTGAGCAGGCTGCCCACCCCAGCCCCGGATGCTCCTGCTCCACAATGACGGGGTCCGCCGGCTCAGGGACCTGTGGACTCCCCAGAGTGCTCCTTCCTCAACGAACACAGCCAGAGGGACAGGGACATTCGAGACAGAGACCCGCCCTCACCTGCTTCCCTGAGCACAGACAGGCCGAGACAGGAAGGTCCCTAGACCTCCAAGGCCAAACTCACAGGGGACCAGGGAGGGCACCAACAGGGTCACAGGAAGGAGCCCTGCCCCTGCCGTGCACACAGTCACGTGTGTCAGGGCTTTCCCCGCACGCACCTGGGCTGGGCCTTGACCGTGAAGGTGTTGCTCCCGTGCTGCTTCTCCAGGCTGACCAGCACATCGTTGAGGTTCTGGTTGAGCTGTGGGAGAGAGAGTGAGGAGGTGGGGGGCTTCCAGGGCCACCAAACAGCCCCACCTTCCCCAAACACCTCTGCTTCTGCCCACCACCCCCGGCCCCTGGCCAGGAACAAGCTCCTCTTTCCCCATCTGTGAGAGCAAGGAACCAGCACACCAAACCTAGAAAAACGAAGGGGCAACAAAACGGGGCCAGTGGGCTACATCACTAATGCCTGTTGTCTCTGGAAGCTATCTTTTCCCCTCCTACTTAAAGGGATATCCTAAAATGCCACACAGAGCATGAACTATTTTTACACTTTTCTCTTAAAAATTGTTTTGGCGGACTGTTGATCTTAATTGTTAAGGTCATTTTGCCAAGATGCTTTCAGACCACACTGCAACTGCTGGATATTTCACTGAAAGCACAGGCACGAGAGAAGGTTTATTCCTCACACATGGTGATTCTCATTACTGAGAATATTCCTCTCTTTGATTTGGCCACTAGGGAGCTCACAGCTGAATTTTCATCCTATTTATAAACAACTATGTCCTGTGGCATATATTTTTACAGATTAATTTTATATAAATGTTTCTTCTCTAAAACACCTCTCTCTGTTTTTTTAAACTTTTCATAAGTTGTCTCAAATCTTCAAAGGGAAAGGGGAAAAGGTAAGAAGGAAAGAGAAAGTCTAAAAGGCAAGAAACCATACTCAGGGGTGTGAGTCAGGAGAGGCCCCAAGCTGCTTTTCCTCCTCCGACCCTGGGCCTGGAATCCACCATCATCACTTCATCCCTCTGGGCCCGAGACACAAAGTCAGACCCACCACTGGGGGCGGAGGTGCCAGCCCTGGGTCTCTCCAACTGCAAAGTTCAACACCTTTGCGTTTTAGTTGCCAGATAGGTTAAAATGAAAATAACACAACAGAGAAAGGTAGGCTAATCAGTCCAGACCCTGTCGCACAGTGGATTCATGCAGACGAAACAGGCCTATTTAAATGTCTCAAAAACATGGGAATAAAATTAAAATGGAGAAAATGCTGGTAATTTTTTTTCCTACAAATTGAGAAACTGCCACCATTGTCTAACACTGCACTCCCTGGGCCAAGGTTGCTAGAGAACACATTCCCAGTTTGAGAGGGCCTGGTCTACATTCTCGGGTGGTCTGCCCGGGCCTAGTCTACATTCTCGGGTGGTCTGCCCAGGCCAGGACCCAGAAAACGCTCACAGCCTCCCGGCATGCCCTGCTGCGCTCCCTCGGCCCAAGCACTCCTGAAGGGGGCTGTTCCACGGGGCATGGAGGGAGCGCTGTGGTCACCAGTGTGTGCTGAACCTGGCAGGGAAGGAGGAGCTCAGGCCGCCCCTCCCACAACTCTGACTCTGACCCTTGGCCAGGGTGGAGCGTGGCCCCTCAGAGGAGTCCCCAGGGCCTACCTTGCTCATCTCCTTGTGGAAGTTTTCCTCTAGGCCCGCGATGCTCTGGAACGTGTTGACGTAGAAACCTACGCGGCTACAGAAGGGCAGAAGGATGGGGGCCAGGTGAACAGGCGGGTCAAGACAGCAACTCAGAAACACACTCACCCATGAGCAACCACACATGCGCATCAGAGACAGAAACTCGAGAGCACCCAGGCACCGCAGCACACAGGCTGGGCACCGCGCCGGGCCTCACCTGTTCCACAGGGAGGGCAGCTCCTCCTGCAGATCCACATTCATCTCCTCAAACACCTTCTGGGCTTTGATGAGCTCCTCCTCGGCCTGGAGAGCAGTACGGGTCATTCCCCTTTGCTGGGTGTCTGTCCCAGCCAGCCCAGCCCCGTGGCCAATCCACCCACCTCCTGCCCACGCCTCCTGGCCAGTGCGCCAGGACCAGGGCTCTGGGCAAGACAGAGGCTGGACTGGATGGGGACACTCACGCTGGCGACCTCCCCCTGCAGCCCTCCGGGACCCTGAGGCCGTCTGAGAAAGGGAGGGCTGAGCAGCCAATGCCAAAGAGAGGCCCAGGTGGCCGGGAGGGCAGTGAGCGGCGAGGAGGGCACAAGAGGGGCCAGTCCGGGGCTTGGTGAGCTGGACACAGGACATGCACAGAGGCAGACCCCAGACCCAGCCAAGTGGGGACCCCGCCCACTTCCACATGAACTCCCTCAGGCTGGGCGCCAGCCCTGCCGCTGCCTTCTGGCTCTCAAGGCAGCATCTGTCGCTGTGCCCCACCGCCCCTGCCCCTGAGTGCTCCCTCCCCGTTTCTGAGGGCCAGCTCCTGGCAGCCTCAGCCACCATCCTTCACTTCACCTCCTGGGGATAGTCCTTCCCACAAAGCCCTCTGTCTCCTGGGACCTGTCCCCACCAGAGGGAGACCAGAGGCAGCCACTCAGGCACCTCTAGGAACGTCAGGGGGACCCTAGAGGAGGGTGCAGGGCCAGGGAGGAGGCGGCCAGGCAGCTGGGCAGTGCCTGGTCCTACTCCTGGCCCACACCTTCCCCAGGGCAGGCCCTGCGCCCTCCAGGCCGCTCACACCCACCAGGCGGTGGCGCTCAGGCCCCATCGCACGGCCACAGAGTGCTGGGGAAGGGACTGCAGGCAGCAGGTGAGTCACAGACCCCACCTGGTGCCCAGCCCACCCGCCCGCCTGAGGAAGGGGCTCTGCTGGCTCACTGCAGGAGGACACTGCCGGGGAGAGTGACTCAGAGATTCAGGGTGTGAGTCACAGCCCAGGAACGTGTTAGGCCCCGCCTAGGGAAACTCCCCGCCAGCAGCCTCACGTTCTCAGGCCCCGGCTGGGGCCCAGGCTGGGCTGCCTTCTGGCAACGGCAGCCAGATGGCTGGAAGGCCACTTAACCACAAAGCACACGATTGCCCCAAGCCCAGCCAGCCTGGGCCCCATCCAGTCTCAGGCAGCAGGACTAGCCCAGGTCAGCCCCTAGCCCCAGGGACTTGGGTTGGGACTGGAGGAGGGGCCACCACGGCTTCTGACAAGTGACCTCCGGCTACTCGCTAGACTGGGTGTGGGCTCCCTGCCTGACTTTTTAGAATCTAATAAAAATGTAAAGGCAGATTTGGGGGGCGGGGAGAATGTCTATTCAAACATGCATGCCTCTCTTAGATCCAGGGGCCCTGGGCAACCCACACCAGGCCGGGGTGAGGAATACTGTCCGTCCTGCCTCTCCAGGCTGTGGCTGGGCCATCTCTGCCCTACTCCTCTGGGCATCCCAGGACCTGGAAGGGGGGCTGCCAACCACGGTTCTATGGAACTCATAAAATAAGTGACTCCTAGGGGTACTGTTGTGAGCCGAGCACCATCACACATACTCCCCGCCCTCAACGGCCAAGAGTGGGTCTAAAGTCCCACATTCCACATGAACCTGCCTGAACCGCCCCCGGCTTCTCTACCCACTAGGACCCCCTCTCCATGAGGATGCAGCCACTACCCCCACAACTGCCCAGATGGCAACGGTGGGGACAGCAGTGAAGACAGCACTGCAGCTCGTCTAGGGGGCACATCTGCCCCCAGCCATGCCCTCACAGCGCAGCAACGCTACAGAAAGCCAGAGCCCGGACAGTGCCGCTTGAGTTCCTGAAGTCAGGACCTGTGTCTTGTATTCCCTCTGGTTGGCATTCCTCATATTCTGGCTCTTTCGGAAGCATGTGGAAGGGGCAGGGAGTAAGGTGAGGGCTGTCTGCCATGTCTGCCGTGAGGAGAGAGTGCCCCCACCCCAGCTCCACTGAAGCTAACAACGGAGGAGAGCAGAGTCACGTGGGCCCGGGGTCCCGAGGACAGCATTCAGGACGCTAGGGCAGGTGTGGAGAGCAACTCAGAACTGGTCCCGGGTCCTCATGGAGCCGGCCAGCTCCCCTGGTACAGCCTAGAGAGGATGCACTGTCTCCCCAAAGTCAAGTCCCCCAGCAGGGCAGCCCCGGAGTCCCAGCTGTCCCATCTCACAGCCAGCCAGCTGCCCACAGGTCACTCCAAAGGCTTTCCAGCCTCCAGCCAGGTATGAGTGAGGTGGGGACAAGGAGGATGTGCTCAAATAAAGATGGGACCCAACTGAGACAGCCAGTTTGGCCAAACTGTGAAACATTCACAGCCCAGCACCCAAAGATGTGATCGCCTGCCTCACCCTCTTGCTGCTCCCCCAGGGTGGGCGTGGGGGCAGGCCCTCCCTCCAGAGTCCCATCCACACCTGTCCCAGGAGCCCAAAAGCGCTGGGCAGGCCCCATAGCCTCCTAAGGAGTTCTCCCATCCACAAAAAAATGTTTCACCTGTTTCAGGGAAAATTATTCAGAAACCCCAGCCCTCAGTCAGTAGTCCCATTTCCCTTCTAGCCCAAGTGCTAAACTGACTGGCAGGGCACACCCACTCCAGCCCCTGGTTCCTCCTCCACCTCCAGAGGCAGATGAAGTCTCAGGACTATTGAAGGCCCCTGGGCATCACCCCCAGCCCCTGGGTCTCCATGGGCACCCTGATCTCAGGATGAGGCTGTCAGCACGCAGTGCCTCCAAAGTCAGCGCTGGCCTAAAAGAAATCAGGCAGCAGATCAGGTGAGAAATTGGACAGCCAGGCCAGGAGCAGCGGCTCATGTCTGTAATCCCAGCACTTTGGGAGGCCGAGGCAGGTGAATCGCTCAGCCCCAGGAGTTCAAGACCAGCCTGGGCAACATAATGCGGCACAGTCTCTACAAAAAATGTAAAGATTAGCCAGGCACGGTGATGTGTGCCTGTGGTCCCAGCTACTCGGGAGACTAAGGCAGGAGGATTGCTTAAGTTGGGGAAATCAAGGCTGTAGTAAGTTGCACCACTGCATTCCAGCCAAGGGAACAGAGTGAGACCCGTTCAAAAAAAGAAAAAGAAATTGGACAGCAAGCCATGCCAAGCCCACCCAGAGCGCTCCATGTCGCAGGCACTCCAGGAAAATGATGAAATCAACAGGCAGCTCAGAAAAAATGGGGCAGCTGCCCAGAGAGAAACCCAACCTCCTGGGCCGGGCCCCTGTCGCTGGCCCCTCGAGAATGTGAAGAAGTGTGAGGGCCGCATCCAGGCTGTGACTACGCTGACCCGAAATGTGCCTCAGTTTCACTGGAGAGAAAACCACGTGACCCACCTCTCATAGGGCACTGCATCCAGAGGTCCCTGGCCACACTGTGACCCATTCGGAGGACAGGGGGCTGAGAAGACCATAGCTCTATGGCCAGGATGGTGAGATGGCCCAGGAGTTTTGTAAAAAGAGCCTCCTCCAGGAAGTCCCCCAGGAACACTGGGGTGCTGGTCACTTGCCCTCCATGAATCCCCAAAGGCCGAGGACCCATCCTTCCCCTCCAGGTCTCAGCATCCCAGCCAGACTGGAGGGTCCTCCCAGTAACTCCTCCAGAGTCACCACGGGGACCGCAAGTCCCAGGAAAAGGATGCAGGGGCTTCAGTCAGGAGAGGCCCAACCCTGCCCCTAACCATTGGCTCTGGGGCCCTGGGAGGAAGCCCCGGGAGGAAGCTGTGATGTGCCTCTCTGGGCAGCTTTGTCTGCTCAGTAAATTCAAGATGATCTCGGAGTTGTCACGAGGCTTGAAGGACAGGCATGGCAGTACAGGGGCCTGAAGATGTCGCCTCCCTCCCCAAAGGAGCCCTCACAGAGGACAAATGGCTCAAAGGCATTCCTGGACCACTGGGATTTCAGAGGAGTCTCCAGGAATGACCACAGACGCAGGCGCGGAGTGGGCACACCTATGCCCCCACCCAGGTCACACAGAGCCCCTCAGCCAGTTCCTTTGACCCCTACATTTGACTTCAGGTCTCCTCTGAAGCAGGAGCTCTCCCAGGGAAGGCCTTGAAAAACCCTGCGCCAGCCGGGCTCAGACACCAGCCCTGCATTCCGCCGCAGGGCAAGAGGACAGGACGACAGACCGGAAGGCGCCAGCACGTGCAAGGTTAGAAGCCAGTGTCACCTGATTTCGGAGCAGGTTAGTTTGAGCTACGAGATGAGCCTGCAGTTTGCCTTGGCACCACTGGGGGGCGGCTTTCTCAAGCAGCGAGACAGGCTGGGGTGGGGAGGTCAAGGCAAAGGAAGGTGGAGAGACCAGGGAGGTAGGGAGAGAGAAACAGAGACACACAGATTAAATGCACGTCCACACGCCCCACGCGCGGGGGCCGCCCCAAGCAGATGTGGGCCCTTGAGGCCGACAGAATTAGGGGGAGCCCGAGGGGGCAAGGAGAGGGGGTGAACTCCAATTGCAGAGGCAAAAGGTGCTTGTGGTTAGCAGCACAGGGGGCCAGCAAGCAAGGCCCTGCCCGGAGGAGGGGGCCGCCCCAGCCCCGCATCACAGGATGAGTGGGGCCAGTTCTGCACCTACTGGCTCGCTCCAGCCAGGGACAGGTCGCCTGGGATCGTGTGACGAATTCCACCCGGCTCGCCAGGCAGGGCGGCGCCGCTCCAGGGAAACCCAAGAGGCCCATTCTCAGGCTGGCTGGTGGCCTGGATCAGGGCTGAGGGGCCGGGGTGGCACAGGGGTGGGGGCAGAAATGGGTCTACAGTGGACCTCACCCAGGCACCCACAGGGGCCTCTCACTCACCGGCCTGGGTCCAGCAGCGTCCCCACCCCCAGCTCAGCCACCTGGGGCCAGGCAGGAGGAAGGCTCCACCCTTGGGGTCCTAGACACCCGCCCTCTCTCAGCCTCCTGCAGACGCGGCCCCGACCGGCCTCCAGCCCTTACCTTGGCGATTTTGGCTTCATCCTTCTTTTTGGCAGTTTGAAGGGACTCGTAGTGGTGCCGGGCACTGTCGTAGTCCACCAGCTTGCGCCCCCGTTTGGCGATGCGTGACTAGGGCAGACAGAGGAGGGTGCTGAGCGGGGCCTGGCACCCCTGCTGAGGCTCCAGGTCCAGTGGACCCTGGATGGACCCGCAGGGCGGGCAGGAGACCCCAGCTCCACAGGAACCCTCGAGCCCTTGTTGCTGGAACCCTCCTGGTGACAGAGCTTGCCCCCTCCCGGCAGCCCAGTCCCGCTGCGTGAAACCAGTTCCTTGCACTGAGCCCATGTGTCCGTGTCCACCAGCTGGTGACATGTCAGCCAAGTCTTTTCCTTGGCCTGGTCCGTAGCTTCTCATCTCCAGAGCCACCAATAATCAGACTCGGGGAGCTTGAGGCATCTGCACCGGGGGCCCCTGAGGCCAGCATGAGCATGACACCCCCATCCTGCCCACCAGGGGGATCTCGTCCAACCCAATGGTCAACCCAGGCTTCCATGTGCACATCACCGGGGATCACTCACCTCGGTGGAGACCAGAGACACTGCCAGCTCCTAGCACTCACCCAGGCCCAGCAGAGACAGCAGGCTTTGTGAATGCACGCAACCACACAAACACACCCACACATGTAGACCCAGACAACAGGTGACATGCACACATACCCTTCCAAGCACACATGGTATAAACACAGGGGACCTGCAGGCACACACACGCCTAGGCCCTACTCACCCTTCTACACCTTCCACAATCATAGAGCCAGCCACTCCACAGCAACACACACACACACGCACACACACACACACACACGTGCCATGAGGCTTCCTCCCATAGCCCTGAGACCCAAAGGGACAGGAAGGTCCCAGCAAGTGGGCCTCTCACCTTGATGTCAGGGAACTGGCCCAGGTACGTGTCCATGGTCAGCAGCGCCTGGTCCACCAGCTTCTGGTGGTAATCCATCCACAGCAGGTCGTTGTTCTGAGACAGGCAAGAGCACGACAGTGCCACCAGGGGTGCTGGGCCACACCCGCCCCAGTGCTCTCCTCACAGGGACCAGCCCCAGCCCCATCTCTTCACAGCTCGGTGGCTTCTCAGAGCCCTCAGTTTCCCCATCTGTAAGATGGGGTAAAAGTTCCTGCCCTATTGGGGTGACTGTGAGGATCAGATACACTGAGGACTGGGGTCAGCCAGGGAGGTCTTGTGAGTCGTGAGCCATAACACACAAATAAGGACAACCACGACCCACCATCTGCCCCATCTTGGCGTGAGGGCGAGTCAGAAGAAAGGCCTTGCCCCAGGGCACACAGCACGCGAACGCCTGAGAACCAGAGATGCTTGTCCCAGAGGGCACGGCAGAGTGGGACAGGAGCTGAGACCAGAAGGCCCTCTGAGAAGGGCAGGGACACCTGTCCCATGCTCACCTCTGCGATCTTGTTTGCCTCATCCCTACCAGGCCAGTCAGGCTCATACACCTCCTGCAGACACTCATTCAGCTTCTTGGAAGCCTCGTGCATGGCTGTGGGGCAGAAAGGAAGTATGTGGGCCTCTCACTGATAGCCCTTGTCCCACCCTCCCCAGCTCTGTACCCACCAGCTGTACATGGGCCAGGTGCGCCCTGCCTGCCTCCTACCTTTGACAGAGGCCAGGTAGGTCCGGAGATCCTTCTGCAGCCGGGTGCCCTCCGTCTGCAAAGAGAAGGTCAAGGCTGAAGTCAGGCACACCCAGTCCCTGACCCGTCTCCTTCCTACCATCCTCACACGAATGAACCAGACTGCTCTCCTGACAGCAGCCACTGATCAGCTGACCTCCCAACAGGACAGCAGCTACGGCCACCACTCCTGCCTCAGGAGCCCTGTGTCCACAGGCACCCTTACCCATGTTTGTGGGCACCTGCCCTCTGCCAGATGCCATTCTCAGCCCGGGAAGGAAGGCAGGAAGACGAAGACCTCCCCCTCCGGGATGACATGCTGGGGTTACGGCTGAATGACACACACACAGCACAGCAGCAGTATGCAGCAGCACCAGCACTCACAGACCTGCCCTCAGACACCTGCAGACAAGTGAGCAACAAGCACAGGAGTATGGACAAGGCAGGTGTGGTGACCGCCAGGCCCCCTGCTGCACAAGCTCAGGTGGTGTCCAAGGACAGAGAGCTCCCACTGCCTCATACTAGGACAAGAGGGCCCAGTGCAAGCCTGTGCAGGGACAGAAGACCTGAGGAAGAGATGGCATCAAGCAGGGCGGCAGAATGCAGGGGTCATGGCCAGGACTCACTGGCCCAGCTGAGAGCAGGGACATAGGATGTAGAGGGAAAAGGCTGAGGGGGCAGCGGGCTGGGTGGTGAAGCTCCCTGAGCTGGGAGAGTAGCCTCCAGGGGCTTCCTGAGACAGCAAGACCAGCGGAGAGGGTAGAAGCATGGGCCAGGCCTCAAGTCCCTCTGGGACATCAACACCAGAGCCAGGAAAGCTAAGTGGAGAACGCCAGGTTCCAGGAGGGGTGAACAACAGGCGATGCCAGCCCTGAGGTCTGAGACCATGCTCAGTGAGCTGTGGAAGCTTCCAGAAGCCATGTGCAAAGAGTGGGCTGCACATGGGCTTTGAGGCCATGCAGACCCAGCTGTGTCCTTTACTAGCCACGCAGCCCTAAGTAAGCTAGTGAGCCTCTCTGAACCTCATTCTCCTCGTCTTTCAGTGGAAGGTGAATGACCCCTGCCTGGCTCTCCTCAGATCCAGTGAGACAGGCCAGGCTCTGGAGCTTGAAGGAAGGCCTCAGGAGATGGGCTTCGTGCTAAGGACAGGAACGCGAGGCAGAGAGGGGGCTTGGGAGAGCGACAGTGGCTGAGGCTGACCTTCATAGTGGAAGGGTACCCCCCGGCCTCCTCTGCCTGCTGCCAGTCCAAGCCTCAGGGACACCCATGTTCTGGACACCTCCTGCCCTGGAGAAAAGGCAGCTGGCCATGGTCCCAGGAGACCCAGCATGCCTGCAGAGCGCCAGTCTGGCCAGCTGCACGCTTGCGCAAGAGCCGGAAGGTGGGCCCCATCCGTTCAGGTCAATCTCCAGGCGAAGGCCAGCAGGGACCCGGCCACCTCCACAGGCTCACCCCCAGCACCCTCAAACCCTCTTCTGTCTCCCCACTGCAGGTCTTTCCCTGTCCTTAGCTGGGGCCGCTCTTCCTGCCCTGGTGCCTTGGGGACCAGCACCTTCCAGGTGGTCTTCTCAACACCACTGCCTCACCTGGCAGCAAAGAAGCAGACAGAGGGTCGGCGACCGGCCCAGTCACACAGAGACTGGGAGAGCCCACGAGACCCTCCGAGCCTGGGCACGCAGCCCGCAGCGTGTTTTGTGGGTAATGGGTAGTGACGCGGCCCTGAGAACCCGCAGATCTGCCTACTATGATGAATGCTTCTGTGTGATAGTAGAGACATCCACAAGGAAGGCTTCAGAGTAGTACATAGGGTATATAATTTAAAGAGAGGACATGTGAAAAAAAAAAAAAAACTCTACAATGCCTTTAATCCCCCATAGAGTAGGGTGTAAAACACTGGCTAATTATCATCTTTACGAACATCCCAGTTCAAGGCCCGCTGATGTGAGACGGAGTGAAGAAACAGAAGAGCACTCCACGGACACGGAGACCTCCCTGGAATTCCATTCGGGGGTCGGATGGAGACCCTGCGGGGCCGACGAATGAAGAAGGGTCCACCTCACTCCTGACACAGCCACCCTAAGTCTTCACAATTAAAGGCTTTGTTGGTTGAGACGAGGATTAGTGTGTTCATGACGGGATGCTATTGTGTCCCCTGATGTCACCAAATCTTCCAGATCCAGCTTCTCTCCCTGCCAAGCCTCCACCATCCCAGCCACACCTCTCAGGCCTCCCCTCACCCACCCCCCGGCAGCAGGAGTCCCCATGGGGTGGGTCATTGTGCTCCCCCGGCCTTGGCCTTCAGGCCGTACCAGGGCTCCTTGTGTTTCCCAAACAACGCTGGGCTGTGCGCCGGCACGTGGCACGCAGATGTGCGAGGGGCCAGCTGGAGCGCTGCCTCCCTGTGCCCACTGCAGCTGGCTTCCTAAGCTCCTCCTCAGTCCCCAGGGTGGACACAGCCCTCCCCGGACGGAGGCCCAGCCAGTTGCCCCCTGCAGAGCAGCGCCCAGGCCAGTACAGAGCAGTGGTGTTTGCTTCCAAACCGGCTCCCTCAGCCCCTAAACAGGGATCTGAGAAAGAATTCTCTGGAGGTCCCAGAGTTCACAGAGCCCAGCTAGGGGAAGATAAGATTTGGGAGCCACTGCCCACCTCGGCCCGTGTCCCAGCTACAGGACTTGGGGGGGTCAGGAAGGGCCTGGAGCAGCTCCAGTGCGGCTGGGCTCAGCCAGCATCCGCAAGCCCTCTCCGGGCCTCCCTGGAGATCAGTCCCCACAGGTGGCCTGAGCACCCAAGTCCCTGTGTTCCCAGCGGGTCTAGGGGCAGGGACGGCCCTCCTACATGGACCCCTCTGGCTCCAGCTCTGACTCTCACCCCTCGGCCATCAATTCAGGGGACGACCTTCACGCAATAGCCAGGGATGCCCATTTTGAGCAAAACCTTGGGGAGGCCCTGGGGACAAGAAGGAATCAGACTTGCCCCACCTCAGTGACAGACAAACAGCGATGACAGCCCTGCGGCCTGGAGAGCTACAGACGGCCCCTAGGAAGAAGAGCTGGGATGCCCTGGAGACCCAGGCTGGCTTCCAGAAGGGTCTGTGCTGGTTGTGCGGTGCCCTGGGGGCGGGGAAAGCAGGCCCCATGGGCTCTCAGAGCAGCGGCAGAAGGCAGGGGTGCTCCTGTGACCAGCGCCCGGTGGGCCCAGGAGGGGCTGTGCACCTGGGTCCTTGTGAGAGCAGGTGACAGCGGGGTGACATACACCCTCACCTAGGGCCCCCCATCGCCATAGGAAGTGGTGGGAGTTTCGCTTCTTTAAAGACTGAATCACCTGCCATCTTTGTCCCTCCTAGCGCTGGGCCCACTAGGCTTGGGGTTCACAGAATAAGGGGCAAAAAAAAGCTCTGCCTCCAGTCTTCCCACGCCCCATTCTCTCTCTCCTTTCCCAGGGCCCCCAAGCCCACTGCAGCCTCCTGAACTCACTCCCCCAACAACAGTGACCTTCACCCCATTCCTGCCTGGTCCCCACCCCACCCCCACACCCTGCCATCCCCACACACCAATCAAATCCAGAACTGGCTGGCTGCCTTAGCCCCAGCCTTGAACACGACCTTAAAACCCCCACCCCAACTGCCAGCCCTGGCCCCTGAAAAGCCAGTCGCCCCACCAAACCCAAGCCCGAGGGCAGACAGAGGCCCATCTCAGGACTGCTCCACACCCACAGCCCGGCAGCCACCTGGCAGCCTGAAGCACTGGCTATCTTTAGCCCTGGCCTCTCTGTCTAACCCCTTTGTCCAAGGAGCAGTGAGTGATCGCTTGCCCAGAGTCAGAGGCCCAGAGAGGGTGACTCTGAGGGACAGTGGACACAGCAACACTGTGGTTTCAGCCCTGGGGCCAGGCCACACAGAGCCTCAGCTCCCAACTGTGCTTCCCTCACTGTCAAAGCTCAGCCTGTTTTTTGTTTGTTTGTTTGTTTTGAGACCGGAGGCTCGCTCTGTAGCCTAGGCTGGAGTCCAGTGGCACGATTTCGGCCCACTGCAACCTCTGCCTCCCAGGCTCAAGAGATTCTTCTGCCCCAGCCTCCTGAGTAGCGAGGACTACAGGCGCATGCCACCACGCCTGGCTAATTTTGTATTTTTAGTAGAGGCACCATATTGGCCAAGCTGGTCTCGAACTCCTGACCTCATGATCTGCCCGCCTCGGCCTCCCAAAATGCTGGGATTACAGGCATGAGCCACAGTGCCCGGCCAGCTCAGCCTGTTCTAAGGGGCCCCCACCAACTCCACCCCTAACCTGTCTCCCCAGCCTAGCCAGCTGCCCTCAGGACAAGGGATCAGCTCCAGAGAGGAAACTCCAGAGTGAGGCAAAGGCCGCAGAGCTACACACCAGCTACATAGCCTTGGAAGCTGTGCGTAACCTCTCTGAAACTCAAGCGCCTCATCTGCAAAATGAGGAGAATATCAGCCCCCATTTCAAGGATTGCAAAGATGTCTGTCAAACACAGCAGTTCCTGGCCCACGGCCACAGCAACTCCTAAAGGGCCTTCAGAGCAACCCACAACCCGATGAAGCCAGCTGAGTAGGGACATGCCACGGGACTTCCCAGAGATGGAATCAGAACCTAAGACCGTTTTTCTTGTTCAAGCCTCTATTTTGCAGGTGAGGAAACAGGCCCAAGGGGCCCTGGGAAGGAATTGTCCAGGGTCACAGAGGCAGTAGATATCCCTGCCACAGGGTCTACCTGGGCCTTGAAACTCCTCCCATAACTGGCCTAAAGGACAAGCAGCCAAGGTGGCTCCCCAGTTCCTGTCCAGGGAAGCCTGTCAGGCTGAGCCCCTCTGGCAAGCCAAGGCCGACTTGGCCCTGGGGCCTCTCCCCACTGCTCCCAGCCCTCTCCCAGAATGCTCCCAGCCCTCCCAGCTGCTCCTAGTCCTCTCCCAGAATGCTCCCAGCCCTCCCAGCTGCTCCTGGTCCTCTCCCAGAATGCTCCCAGCCCTCCCAGCTGCTCCTGGTCCTCTCCCAGAATGCTCCCCAGCTGTCTCCCAGAATGCTCCTGGCTCTCCCAGCTGCTCCCCCGCCCTCTCCCAGAATGCTCCCAGCACTCCCAGTTGCTCCTGGTCCTGTCCCAGAATGCTCCCAGCTCTCCCAGCTGCTCCCCAGCCCTCTCCCAAATGCTCCCGGCCCTCTCCCAGCTGCTTCCGGCCCTCTCCCGGCTGCTCCCAGCCCTCCCAGCTACTCCCGGCCATCTCCCAGAATGCTCCCAGTCCTCTCCCAGAATGCTCCCTGGCCCTCTCCCAGAATGCTCCCAGTCCTCTCCCAGAATGCTCCCTGGCCCTCTCCCAGAATGCTCCCAGTCCTCTCCCAGAATGCTCCCAGGCCCTCCCAGCTGCTCCCAAGCCCTCCCAGCTGCTCTCAGCCCTCTCTCAGAATGCTCCCGGGCCAATTGGAGATGGCTGTGGACGCCTCCCAACAGCCCAGCCTTGAGCCTGCCACAGAGCCAGGCACACACCATGCTCAGCAGATGCCCAAATCAAATCCAGCCAGCTCTGCCCCCACGCTAACTGCTGCAGATGCCATTCTCCTGGCAAGAAGCTTCTACAGCTCCCACTTGCCCCTGACATGCGAAGTTTCCCCGAGTCTGGCCACAATCTATTGCCTGCTCCTATCCCACCCTCCCCCTCCCCCAACTACCCTTACTATGCCTCCTACCAAGGACCTAAAGCGTACATACCCCAACCCTCTTCTTTCCCAGCATGCATTGCCAGGGCTGCCTCCTCCAGGAAGTCTTACATGATCTTGTCAGCCCAACTGATTATCCTCCTCCAAGCTCTCGTACTCCACAAATTCAGCTTGTGCCATTTTCCACCTGGCAGCCAAATTTTCACAAACTCCCTAAGGCCAAGGGCCACCCACACTCACCAGCTGCTTGTTGAAATTCTGGACACACTGCTCAAACTGCTCATCCTTGGTCTCATCTGCCTTTCCTAGCTTCTGGAGAACCTGCCGAAGCCAAGAGAGAAGGGGAGAGTGTTACCTTGGAAAGGAGAGTGGCCAAACCAAGAGTGCTCAGTCACCAACAGCACAGACGGGGTCTGGGAAGCCTCCAGCCACCATTACCCAGCCCAGGGTCCCCACCCAGGGCTGCAATTCCCCAGGGCACGGCTGGGTCCACCAGGTCTTCAGGCCTCCCCACCCGCTGCCCAGGGCTTGACAATAGGCCAAAAATGGAGCTCAGGACAGGCTTGACGTAGTGACCACAGCCAGGAGGAGGGAGGCTTCAAAGACAGCAGGAAGGATCGGGCACCCTCCTTGCTGATCTCACACTGTACCCCTGGGTGCTCGCCCCCACCCTGGCAGCTGAACAGTGAGCCAAGCAGGGCAGCGGCCAAGCAGGGGCAGCCTCACTTCTCTGCATGACTGTATTCCCTGGGTCCAAGGCCCATGAACGCCACAGGCAACAGCAGAGCAGGCCCTGAACCGGCAGGAGCCGTCCCGGAACAAGGAGGGCAGCGAGGGGTGGCCAGGAACTGCCGAGGGGCCACGCAGAGTCTGCTTCCAATCTGACTGGGTTTTTAGATGTGACCTGCCCCAGGCACTCTGCTCTGCACACCCCACACACAAGGGCACACACATGAGCTCACAGCCACTAGCTCTGCTCCCAACCAAGAGTCTCAGAGGTGGACCTTCCACAGCCCCCCATGATGAGTGGCAGCCGTCCTCCTCCTTCAGCTGTGTCGGGAGGGGAAGGGGGTGGTGAAGGAGGTGAAGGATGGGTGGGCAAGGGCAGAGAAGGGGAACCACACCAGGAGAGGGGAAAGCTCTAGGAAAGGAGGGCGCTGGCCCAGGACCCTGAGAGCATCTGCTGACCACCACGCTCTCCCAGACTTCCCTCTGTGGGCCCTGCTCCTCCAACCCCAGAGCTCCACATGATGGAGAGAGAGGTGGGAGCAGGGAGACAAAATACAGAGGCAAAGAGCGGTGAGGGGGGCATGGTAGGAAAGTGCAGGAGAAGAAAAAGACAAAGAGCTGAGGCACAGAAAAGGGATGAGGAGTGCCAGATGTGTTTGCAGGAGAGCAGACAGGAAGACCAGGATGGCGGCGGGACACACCCATTCGCAGCCCAGGAGGCATCTCCATCATGGCAGCAGAAAGGCCAACACTGACGTCTCGGCAGAGGCCTCTCCCAGGCAGTGGGCAAGGCCTCACAAGAACGAGAAGGAAACGGGGGTAGGGGATGTGAGTGGAAAGCGAAGGGAGAAAAAGGTGGGCCCAGGAGCAGAGGGGAGCCCCAGGAGCAAGAGGCCAGCCCAGCAGCTGCCGAGGCCAGCAGGCCTGCAGACATACCCTCCCTTCCAAGACCCAGAGCCAGCCCATGCTGCCAGGAACATCAGCTTTGCCTGCCCAGGGCCCAGGCCAGGGTCCCGGACCAAGGGATGCCTGGTACCAGGACAGAGCCAGGACCCTTCCCACCCTGCTGACCCTTTCAAGGGCTATGCTGCCTGCTGCACTTCCCCTGCCCGGTCCAGGAGCCTTGGCAAGGCCAGCTGCTCTTGGCCATCTCTCACCAAGCACCTGCTCTGCGCCTGGCCTTGGGCACCTTGGCTGGTGGAGCAGAGAGGAATGAGATGTGGGTCTCTGTCTTGACATGAGGGAACACTTAAGGCTGTGGGACCCTGGGGTGGAGATCTCATCTAGCCTGGGCAGTCAGTGGGACTTCCTGGAGTGGGTGGCAGCTCAGACAGAGGGGAGAGGTTGCAACAAAGGAAAGGAGACCACAGAGATGGAGCATCTTACTGGGGAGTTTTGAATTGCTCAAGGTGACCAGAGGTCACAGAGGATGGTGTGGGAAGGTGAGAGTGGCAGCAGGGGGCAGGTGGGCACCGGGAGGCAGCCAGCGATGATGCTGTTCTACAGCGGTCAGGACACAGCCCATCGGGCAAGTGCAGTTGGATGCCAAGGGCTAACACTGGGATGAGAGAAAAACCAAAACAAAACGCACATGAGCAAGAAAATGGACACTGCGCAACTCACAGGCGCCCACTGCCGCCCCTCCCTGGCAGCCACATCCAGAAGGGACCGTCCAGAAAGCGGGCTGAGCTGGGGCGGTGCCTCGCCCGGCTCAGCACAGAGCTCGGGTGGGCGACTCAGCCCCTCTGCTCAGGCGCCTGCCCCACAGCATCCCCCCATCGAAAGAGAGGACTAGACCACCAGATGGAAAAGAACTCCCAGAAGTCTACCAGAGCCACCAGAGAGAGCCAGAAGCTCCCAGAAACAGGGCAGGGGCTGGCCAGCTCCCAAGGCAGGAGCACCAGGCAGGACACCCCTCCACGCCCTGCTGTCCCTCTCCCCAGGAAGACAGACACTCAGCCAGCAAACGTCCCCGGTCTACTCCTCCCACACTGGCCCCCAGGGCTCCCAAGGTGTGCAGAGACAGACACTCTCTCGACCCAGTTCCCAAACACTGCTGTGTGCTCTGCACCGACAGCCGGAGAACCGGGGAGATTCTCCAGCCCAGGTGAGACTCCAGCCATCAGTGAGAAGACCCCTGGGAAAAGGGACAGCTACTCTCTGAGCCTCAGTCTACAAAATGAAGTGAACACTGGCACCCTCACCAAGGATCACAAAGATCATGTCTATGAAGTGCAGAGCAGTACCTGGCCCATGATATTCAAGAAATGGCAAATTCTTGAAAGGCCTGCAGAGCAGCCTTCACACAGCTGGGGGACGGGCCTGACTGACACCACCAGCCCTCACACCGGGTCCAGGCTGATGGCATCCCAAGATGCGAGACAGAAGTCACAGATGCACATGCTCTACCTGCACGTGGCAAACTCCTACGCATCCTTCAAAACCTTACTTCGGTGACATCAGTGTGAACTGTCCCTGATCTCTCCTTCCCTCCAAACACTCTGTACCACTCAGAGCCTGGGACCCTCCCCACTGCTATGTGATGTGCCTGTGCGCCTCGCTCCCTTACCCTGAAGGAAGAGCTTGAGGTCAGGGACAGTCTTCCAGTCATCTCTGTGTCCCTGACACCCACACAGGGCTAAGCACAGGACAGACACAAGGCTGCTGCTCATCTGAGCTGTGGGCTTTGAGGGCAGAGCCACGACTCTAAACAAAACACCCTGCGTCTCAGTCTCAGGCTCCTCCCAGGCAAAATGCAAGGGTAATGTACAGAAAGCCCTGAGCCCTGAGGGCGGGAGGGCGTGACAGCGCGACAGCACAGAAGCCTGAGGCTGAGCCGGTCTCCCCACTCTGCAGGACCTCAGGCTGCTGAAGCTCTCGGTGCTCCAGTGCCCCTACCTTGGAAATGGGAGGAACAACAAGGCCGCAGCATGGCCGAGGCCCAGGGAAGACTGATGGGCGAGGTTGGCCTCGACCACATGCCATCCTCACTGCACATACCCCCATTTCATCCATGAGGGATGTGGCCTGGGGTCCCCATCCTCAAGGAGCTCCTGGTGTGGCTACCACAGGGAAAAACAAGCTGGGCACCCCCTGCCCCAGAACAGGAGCTGGGACAAGGCCATGAGGCTTGGGACACAGATCTCCCACACCATCCGTTCCACACATGGTTAGTGGGGCCTCCCCTGTGCTGAGCTCACAGGCAGACCACTGAGGGACACAGGGGACTCCAGGTGTCCAGGTGGGGCTGGCCCAGCAGCGACTCAGGAAAGCTGGGCAGGACAGTTGTGCTGGGTTTTGAAGGATGAGCAGGAGTTGGGTGAGGAGGAGGGCCTGGCGGCACAGGCCAGGATTTACACTCTGTCCAGGGTTACTGGGGGAGGGCACCTTAGTTCCACCTACACTCATCACACACTTATCAGGCACACTCGCTCTGGGATAGACAAAGGGGAGCCTTTGATAACTTGGCAGAGGACGGGACACACAGAGGCCCAGGAAGCAGAGGCAGACACAGAGCCAACAGCCTTATCATTGCCACGCCCAGTCACCTCCTATCAAAGCTTCCTCTCACCACGTCCTCAACCCAAGGTCAGATGTGAGTGGAGCTAAAGTGCCTTGGAGGGGACATCCCAGGGCAGGGCGGGGGGGGAGGCAGGTGGCAGGAATGACAAAGTGTGGCCCCGTGGCCAGCTCCAGAACCTCCTCCTGCAAACATCCACAGGGTTCAGCCTCGCTGAGCCTCGGCTGTGGAAGGCAACCAGCCCAAGCCTCCTCCCTAGAAAGGCTGGGAGGTTCACTGAGTTGGCGCCGTGCCTCTGGCGCCAGGGCCCACAGGGGCTCAGTGGGAGCGTCCCGTGGGCGGGGGCCCCTCCCCAGCCATCCGCCAAGGCCTTTTTCATGGCCCAGTGAGAGGGCAGAAGGCCCTGGCATCAGCCACTCCCTGTGGGTACAGGGAGTCCTGCCACCCTCACAACAGCCCCCGCGTGGCAGGCAAGGCCCTGACCCACAGCGTGAGTCATGGGGCACAGTCAGTGCACGGCCACCGAACCCAGAGGGAGGAAGGGCTCCCAGGCCTGTCTTGTTTGAGCCAGGAGCAGCTCACCACGTACAGCACCCACCCACCATGCACGCACTTCAAGTCACCAGGGCCGCCTCCTCAGAAGGGAGGTGTCCTCATCTCCATGTGACAGATGGCAGGTGAGCACAAACAAATCAGGACACAGCCTGACACCGTCCAGGCAGGAGGGGCCGGGAGTTCCAGCCGCCACAGTGAGGAGGGCCGGGTCTTCGGGCTCACCCGGCTGGGCCCCAGCAGCCCCTCCTGGGGTCTCTGATCCCTCCGTCGGCCCCAGAGACGAGTGGGACCCCGGCACTTGTGGGACGCACACCCACAGTCTGAATGGCATAGCCCAGGGCAGGGATAAGCACTTCCCTGGGCCATGAGAAGGACCAGCCCAGGGGCCCAGGAGGAAAGCCCAGGGGAGGAGGGGTGAGGGCCGCATTCCCAGCCACTCTGGTCCTGGCCAGGGCCAGGCAGAAAGCTAGGGGCTCCTCCACCAGCCAGCGGCACCCCTCGTCCCTGCTGTGGCTGG